GCAGAGCAGGAGGAGAAGAATGACACGGAGCGTGGTGAGACCGGCCCATGGGCGGAGTATGTGGCAGTCTTAATGGATCAGACAGGATCCACAGAGCTTGATCGATCTTGTCAGATAATATTAAGGAAAAAGAAAATCTTAAATCAGACTTCAGGTAAAGTAGAGTTGTGGGTTTACAAATATTGCCTTAGAAATAATTTAGAATGGGGACACAACTTCACCACTTTCAAAGTGATAAAGATAGAAAGATGGTGGCCTCGTAGAATCGAATTTGGGTGTTTTCAGACCAAAGACAGTAGTTTAAGTTCCTGGCAAACAGGAAATATTACGCATTGGTATCAAAGATTATCAAGAGGGAGGGAAAGAAGAGACGTTTGCCCGACCCCCCCTCCTAACACAACACTAAAATATGATTCCTTGTCCATGATAGAAGAGAGTCACATGTGGCAGAAAGTAAAGGATAATGTGATTAAATGGTTATCAAAGGTACCCCCTGCAATGTCTGATCCCCTGGCTGAGGCTGAGGAAGGTGAAGAAACCGTTCCTCTCTTTCTAGAGCCCGGTGTGCGGGGTAAGAGATCTACTTCCGACTTAGCTCGACTCTTACGTAAAGGTCATAGTGAATATGCAAACTACACAGGATATCAGAATTATATACTTCCCACTAATAGTACATATTTTAACTGGACATTTTTCTGCCTCCATAATGAGGTAGACCTTCAGCCACAAGGATGGGAACTGCATCAAATAAGACACACTCTTTATACAGAATGGGTTTATGAGGTTCCTAATTTTAAACACCCAAAAGTAGTGCAATGGATGAAAAAGGATCAATCTGATCCCACTAACTTAGATACAGGATTTCATGCATGGAATGAGGAAACTAGACTCTGTTTAACCAGGAAAGCAAATAACAGCGCTGTATGGCAGGGAGGCGAGCCACTTAGAATAAGGATCGCAGGAGCATATTATCAAAAAGGTACAGCTACTCCTGATAGTATAATTGAGGCAGACTCTATATTCGAAGCAGTGAATGAAATGATTAGACCAACCCATAAGCAAGATTTTTATCACAGTCCCACATGGGCTAGAAATTACACTTTAATGCTTGAAGGATGTCAGGTGGAAGTCTGTAATAATACCAAAGGGTTAACTAGAAGGATGTGTATTTTTTGGTATTCACAACTATATGGATTAACAGTTGGAGGTCTGCGTCCAGACACATTAGGAGATCGAGAGTTTTTTAAACCTAGGCCTCCTTATCTAAACATAGCTACTTTAGGAACTGGAGAATTATGCTATAAAGTCTTATGTGGTTATATGCAAAGAGATATTCCAGAAGATTATAGATATTATAGAAAAGGAATGTACGAGACATATCCTATGACATACTGGTATGGAGAGGGATATAATAAGCAAAAATATGATTATTATCCCCAGGACACAAGGATTGAAGCAGAAACCTTTGAAAGAAAATTAGTAGGAACTAAAACTCTTGTGATGGAACATGGTCAGCTTCGAGTTAAAACAAATTGGCTTTCTATTGATAAAACAAATACTTGGGAAATAAATGATACAAAAACAGGAAATGGTCTTTTAGATCGTATAATGATTATGAATGATAAAGTTGGAGACTTAGTGCCACCTGGATTCACAGCCCCAGGAACAACTAAGTGGGGAGCGTTTAGTCTGGTCAATTTCAATTACCTTAACGGACTAGGCATCGACCATCATGTGTGTTTTAATGAACCGAGAATAGGGAAAAATCCCCAACCTGAAAGATTCACAATCGACCCTGATGCACCCAAAGAGTTTCCTAACTTCAGAAATTTCCCAAATTGGGACCTGAGAAGTGGTTTTTGCTCACCATTTCGAAGAGCGTTAGATCAGCAAAAAGCTGACTGGTTTGATTATTTTGCATATGGCATAAATGGCACATTACGTCATGTGAGTCTGATAGTACGTGGTGTAAATGAAATTATGAGTGATAGTGTAGTGCAGGTTTCTAACAATGTAATTCAAGGAACTTCTGATTCAATGGGAATGTTGGTAAAAGGAGTTAGAGAGCACATCATTAGGCCCGTCTGGGATGCTCTGTTTTGGCCTCTGTGCGCTCTCGGATTGATGTGTGGGGTGATTATTTTAATAATCGGTATGATTTTGGCCTGTAAAAACAACAAGTGGCAGTTAACAGGAAGAAAGCTGTTAGGAGAAAGGAAAAAGGACCTGGTAGATCCAGATAAGGTGGGAAGAGAGGTGTCAAGGTGGAGGGAGCATTAGCCCCCCTTCTTGTTGCTCCTGTTTAAGTGCAGGCCTCTCTGCACCGCATGTCACTTGCTCCTTTACGGTCAGTCTGTAACTTGAAGTGAACAAATGGCTCATCAAACTCACCCTGAATCTGAACTGCTTGACGCTCTGAATCCGGAGGTATGTCAGGATTTTATAGTTATTTTATCCAGTTTGTCTTTAGGATGTTGTAGACGTTTCATAACTGGTGTAGACTTGTTGTGAGGATTATTGTTGTAAAACTATGCCTGCAGAAGAATTGTAGTGTGATTATTCCTGCAGCTTCTGCTGATTTATTTTCTCCTATAATTAAGAAGTGTTTATGCAGTAATGCAGTTACTTATTGCTTCATAGAATGAGTTATATATCTCATGTGGAACATATTTTATGTTCCTTCCAGATGGACTCGATTCGGCAGAATATCATAGAGGGATTAATCCCCTCTGCAGGTCCATCAACTGTTTTCTCTCTGAATGGCACATACAATTTGTGCACCGTGAATCGCAGGAGGGATGGATTGCCTCAGACCAAGACGATCGGGCTCCAGTGTGAACATGCTACGATGAATAAACGCTGCGTGTCTTGCAGGTTTATTCAGTACGTCCAGGCCAAATGGAAAAGGGATTCAAGCGGGAGGCTGGTCAGGAAGACGACATACTAATGTTGTCCTCTCCGGGAGTAGATGCCCTTCTTGAGCGGACCCACGACGAGGAGCTGACAACGGCGCCCTCATCTGACGTGGCTGAAGAGGTTGTATCAGTAATGACGGCAGCTTCGACATGCGTCCCGTGTCCTGATGTGATACGTGAAATCCCTATGGTCTGTCTAAGTAGTGAACCAGCAGGCATTCCACCCCCTGTCAGAATCGCACGTGGGAGAGAAATGAGATGGAGGATTAAATCCCAGAAGGGGTGTTACTTTGTTTGTCAAGGCAAGATTATAGATTGCTTTCAGTTTATGAATATTTTGTCTGTAAAGACTGGATGGTTCGGCCCAGAAGTCTGTGACTCTTTTGGGACCGCACCTTTGTTGGATACGAAAAATCATGTTTTGGTTTTCAGCGTCAGCTTCCCACCGCAAATGATGGGATCGCTTCCGCGTGGAGAGGCTCCAGTGATAGATTTATCTTTATTCTTTCTGGGCGAAGATCCCACAGATGGAAGGAGGCAGTTTAAAGGTTATGTAACAACCCGCAAAGGGACCTTGTGCTTACCCGTTGCTGATGATGGCATTATGATGAGAATGAGGGTTGATGTGGAGGCCACAGTTAGGTGTCTGAATGTTCAGCCGTTCCTGAGTGAGATGGATGCTAGATTTATGAAGGCTTGCATTGCTGCTCTATCCTTTTATGGTCCTTTGCCTCAGTTCGTCCCCATGGGGGATGTAGCGAGTCCTGGCCAGTCAAGGCTTAGAAACAGTGGTCAGAGACAAGGGTCACACAAGGGTCAAGAGGACAATAGTTCAGGACTTGCTGGTGAGGACAGAACTAGGCAAAGGGTCAAAAGACAGGCTGGCTTCTCTGGATCCGTCCATGGGTCCACCCATGGGCCCGCCCCTAACTCCACCTCTGGCGGGAAAAGAAGGAATGGCATGGAGTGAGGAAAAGTCCAGCTGGACCCAGAAGCTCTCAGGAATGCTGAAAGAAGATCTACAATTTGCTACCAACATGAAGATTTATGACCTGTGCTCTCATTCCAGGAGTGCAGCTTGTAACTTTTGTGCCCTCATGTGAATACTGCATGTAGTGAAAATGATACCAAATGTCTTATGTAGAGCTAAAAAAGTGTATTTTGTAAAGGACCCCTTGACCTAAACTGTCAGGAGAGAATGACTTGTGACTCTTCCATTGTTTAGAGCAGTCTCAGGAATGATATAAAAGGATGCAGCTCAGATCGGGCTGGAAGAGTTACGACAGGAAGATTGGAGTCTTGTTTTGGGGAGATTCTGAGAAGACAAGAGCTGGTGTAAACTAACTCTTATTTAATCATTTTGAATTAATTCCTCCTTGGGGGATAGTAGTTGTTTTTTATTTACCCATTTTTGTATTTTGATTTTGTAATAAACCTTTTTTGAAAAAGAAACATAATCCTGATTCTTTCAGGTTTTCTCTAAAGCTTCACGTTTGGGGCCCTGGCCATAAATTGCACAGAGGTAAGCATATCAAGGATCGGTCTCTGAGTCATCGGGACTTACTTTACAGTTTATAATAGAATAATATAAAGAAACCTTAAGATAAGGGAAGTTATAACTTCCCCCTCCTTGCGAGTAACGAGTTGTCTTAAGGGCGATAAAAGCAGAATATTCGAGGTTATTTTGGCTCTGATTGCAGGTTGAAAAAGTCTCTAATCAGCTGGAAGGTTGGATTAATAAATAAATTGATAAACTTATGATAGCCTGATCAACTAGCATAAATCATTTTATAGTTACCAACCTCCCACATAAGCTGTTAGAGGCGCAATTAATTCCGGGTAATCCAAATAATTGCTGAGAGGCTTGGCTTGCCTCCAGACTTCTCTCCAGTATCTTAACCAAAAGGTAATGAGTTTAAAAGAAGTGTTCTACTCTGGGGCTGGCTATTCGTACAAGTCGTTTCACCTTTAAAATAAAAGACAAGATTCTAATTAGATGGTCCAATCCCGGATCTGGTACAATTATACTCGCCGACATCCCCTCGAACCCTGAAGGATGCACCGCCTCATAAGTTCTAATGGAACTAGGTTTTAAAGGAACCGGTAAATGGGACGGGCACGCGACAATATGAGAACAGCAGCTGTGGCAAGTAGGAACTCCAGTCTAGTTTATGAGAAGTGGGTAAAGTGCGAAGCAAGTTATGGAGTGTTCTATTAAACCGCTCACACTGTCCATTGATGATGGATGGTATGGAGTGGTTCGGGACTTCTTGATCCCATATAAAGCACACAGCTGCTGAATGAGAGTGCTCTCGAAGTTTCGGCCTTGGTCTGAATGTATCCGTGCTGGAACGCCGAACTTCAAGAACCACTTAGTCACCAATGCCTGTGCCACAGTAGAAGCCCGCTGGTCCTTGGTAGGGACAGCCAGTGTATATTTGCTGAAGACATCTGTCATCACCAGGACGTTCTTACACCTGTCACCAGAGGACTCCAGCACAGTGTAATCTAGGGCCAAAACCTCGTTTGGCCGAGAGGCCAACAAATGTCCCATGTAGGCCTGAGGCCCCCGCTGGGTATCCTTGGCAACCTGACATCTCTCAAACTTACTGCACCACTGCTCCACATCACCAGTCATGTTAGGCCAGAAGCATCGGTGTCTGAGCAGCTGCAGTGTCCTCTCAACCCCTTGGTGGCCATGCTTCTAATGAAGTTCAGTAAGCACTTCCTCCCTCAGGGTGGCAGGCAACACTATCTGCAACACCCCCTCAGCCTCCCGGGGGAGCCAGATCTGCCGGTACAGGACCCCATCCTTCTCCACCAACCGGTCCCACTGTTTGAGGAGGACCAATGCAGCCGGAGACAACTGGAGTCTTTCCTCACGGGTGGGATGTCTCTTTTCTATCCAAAATGCCCTGATTTCACTAAGGACTGGATCAGCTTGCTGTAAAACACAAAGGTCAGCCTGATTAAAATGAGGCAATGCAAAGACAGCAGCCGGAGCCACCTCAGACTGGTCAGCCTGTAAAACCTGCTGCAGTGGCGTTGGGAGGGGTGTTCCTGGGAGCATTGAAGCTAGCTCTTGTCTGCCGGGTGGATTTTGTTTAGACAACGCATCTGCGTTTCTGTTGCTCCTCCCCGGGCGGTACTTTATTTCAAAGTCAAAGGAAGCCAACTGGGCAGCCCAACGCTGCTCAGTGGCCCCCAACTTGGCAGATGACAGGTGGCTTAGCGGGTTATTATCTGTGTAGACAATACACCGATGGCCCAGCAAATACTCCCTAAACTTTTCAGTCATTGCCCACTTGAGTGCCAAGAACTCCAACTTCATGGAGCTATAGTTGGCCATGTTGCGCTCAGGGGGCTGCAACCCTCTGCTAGCGTAGGCTACAGGCCTCACCTGCCCTTGCTTCTCCTGAGATAGTACTGCGCCTAAACCACCATAACTAGCGTCCACCTCCAAAATAAAAGGGAGAGAGAAGTCGGCATAGGCTAGCACCGGTGCAGTGACCAATCGACCCTTTAAAGCGTCAAAGCTGTCGTTACACAACCTGGTCCAGCACTCGCCAATCTTCTGCCCTTGCCTCCGGCCAGACTTTGCACTCCCCAGCTCCGCAACAGCCTGTGAAGGGGGGCAGCCAACTTGGCAAACCCCTCCACGAACCGTCGGTAATAGCTGGCAAATCCTAGGAATGACCGCAGATCTGACACCGTCACAGGGATAGGCCAGTTTGCCACCACTTCAACCTTAGAAGGATCTGTTGAAACACCCTTGTCCGAAATCACATGCCCTAAGTACTGCACCTCCTGTCGAAAGAAAGTGCACTTGGGCAGCTTTGCCTTAAGCCCCTCTCTTTGCAGCCGCTCCAGCACCATCTCCAGCCTGTCCAGGTGTTGCTTGATGGTGGAAGAGTAAACAACAATGTCATTCAAATATAACAATAAGGACTGGCACCGTTGGTCCCCAAAGAGTCTTTGCATTAGCCGTTGGAAGGTGCTGGGGGCCTTACAAAGACCAAAAGGCATACGGTTCCATTCAAACAACCCAAAAGGGGTACAAAAAGCTGTTTTGGGCTGATCTGTTTCAGTAACAAGTACCTGGTTGTAGCCACTGGCTACATCTAAAGTGGAAAACCAGCGAGCACCACTCAACGCATCGAGCGACTCCTCGATACGAGGGAGGGGGAAGGCATCCTTTCTGGTTTTGCTGTTTAGGTGCCTGTAGTCCACACACATGCGCAGACTCCCATCCTTCTTCCGTACCAGCACTATGGGGGAAGCATATGGACTGCTGCTCTCCCGGATTACCTGGGCCTCCAGCAGGTTGTTAATATGCTCCCTGACCACCTCATAGTCTGACGGTGGAATGCGCCTAAAGCGCTGCCGGACAGGGACCTCGTCCATGAGTGGAATATCATGGGAGATCAGCTTTGTGCACCTCAGGTCTCCATCACGTTCTGAAAAAACAGAAGCATACAGTATTTTAACAGCAGAGACCTCACACTATTCCCATCCTCTGCTGTCAAAGCCGGTAGCTCCAGAGCCTGCAGCTGAGTCACTACCGACTCCGAGACCGCCTGAGATGAGACAACAGCTGACCCAGATGGTATCCCCATTAAGCCAGCTGGCGAACTAGTAACCAAAACCCTCATCAGGGTTCCAACCTTAGTGCGCGGGTACAGCCAAACATCCGTGTTGCCAACGTTAATAATCGGGACATAAACTTTACCTTTCTGTGCTTGCACCAAAGATGGAGAGGTGAGTAACCCGGCAGGGAGGCCAGACACTAGGGGCTCAAACAACGCAGGTAAACCGGTGAACTGTTCCGAGCACGAGGTGGCCACGTGCCCATCGGCCAAGCACCTTAACTACTCCCGAGGTTTGTTGAGGAATGTCTCCCTTACTCTGGTGACACCTCTGCAATGCCTGGACAACAGGCTCAGGGGCCCCTGACACAGGGGGTTGCTCAAACAAAGCCATCCCATGCTGGCCAAAACATTCGCTGTAGCACTTGCGGATGATATTCATCCCCACAATGCCAGGAAAACCAGAGGTACCACTCGGGGGGTCTTTGACCACCAACACACCACAATTTGTTAGTGATCTACCACATAACTCTACAGTAAGCTCCAGGTAGCCAATATAAGGGATAGCCAACCCATTGGCTGCCTTGAGCTGCAACCAGTTACAGAACTGCAGTTGGTCCATCCCCCAAGGCTCAAAATGCTGCCGGAAAAAGCCCTCGGTGACCGTAGATACCATAGAACCGGTATCAAACAAACATGGTACATTTACGCCTCCCATTAGTACCTCCACATGGGGGCAATCTGACACCAACCTCGAGGCTTCTCCCTGACTAGCAACCAGTTGTGAGTCACTAACTATACCCCCCGAACTGTGGCTCGGCCGTTCGGCGGGCTCTAGTTTTCCGATTGCCTTGCAGTAGGACGTGGTGGCTGGGTGGGCTGGGGACGTGAGACTCTAACCCCATCGCAGTCACTGGCATAATGCCCTGCTTGCTGACACCGTCGACATATTATGGGGCCGTGATTAGTGGGGCGAGGTTTTTTTCGTGTACCCTGCAGCGAAGAAACATCTTGAGCAAGTTTATTTATTTGATCTTGTTGGAGTTTTAGCATCTCCTTTATCTCACTCAACTCAGCAGCTGGGAAGAAACCAGGGCCACCTGCAGTGGGGGGACACTGCACACCATACTGGAGACCTAACACTGAGGGCATGGAGTGGGCACGGCCTCTAGGCCCTCCCGATATCCCCTCCCGCTCCCACCGAATGGCCTCTGCTCGGACTTCTAATAGTGTAGCCGAAGGCCTCCCACGCACAAACTGCTTCAATGCAAGGCGCAAGGACCCATCTGCCACATATTCTATGAACTGGTCTCATAGCAACACCTCAGCATTTACCATTTCGCTGGGGGCCTGCTGCTGCACTGCAGCCATGAGGGCCATTAAAGCTAGGGAAAATTCCTGTAATGTCTCCTCTTCCTGTTGGCGGCGTGAAAAGAAAGCCTCCTGCAAAGCCACATAGGAGTCTGAGCACCCATAAAGTTTTTAGATAGTACTCACAGTCCGACACGCCGGAGTCCCGTACACAATGGCGCTTCACACAAGAAGCGGAAGTTTGAGCCAAAGTAAAAGATCGTTGTAGCGCCACCTCAGGCCCTATTTATATTAGCGCCTTCCCTCAATGATAGGTCGTACAGTTACTTGGTGGCAGGTGTACCTAGCTTCCATACTCTCACAAAGCTTCCTTCCCTGATGTTTGGCACTCTTGCACCACGTTTTGCATCTGCATATTTCTTTGCAGCTTGCTGTTAGTTGCTGACACGAGAGCGTAACTCCTTGTTAGCCTGGAATGTCAGTGATGGAGCAGATCCTACATTCACTCAATAAGCGCACGCTGCGCCAACTCCGGCGCACCGTCAGGCTGAAGGCAGAAATGAGCGCTGCCTCCTCCGTGATAAAAACTTTTAAGAGGTTTTATAACAACATTTTTCATTCCAGGTCAAATTAAGATATTAGTTTCTATTTTGGGATGACGTATTAAAGAAGGAGAGAGCTCTGGCCGCACAGGTTAAACATTCCTGCTTTAAGAAAACCGTTAAATTGCATTTTTTATGTGCTACCTAGGCACTCTAAATATAGAGCCATGCCCTGATGTGGGGGCTGGGGGGTGCGTCGACATGGTTGGTACATAGAAGGGGGTGCGCGTCTAAATAAGTTTGGGAACCGCTGAGAGGACAGATGTCACAAACGATGAACGAGGGTTCAAAGGGAAAAGAAAGACAAAAACAAACACACAAGGGCAGAAACCAATAAAACCGGTTAAAGAAAAAATCAGCTCAAGATTTAAGAGTAGTTTGGTTTTTGTAATGAAGCGCGTTTCATTCAAAAAAGGAACAAGTGCTGCACGGCTCAGAGGCTTACCAGCAACTGCTTCCTCCTTAATAACAAATTTTGCTTTCTGTTGTTATGCTTGTGCATCCTCCCTCCGTTTTCTAAATTGTAATGCCAGAGATGACAACTAAAATGTTTGATGGAGAACTGCTAGTCAGTTTCATGTCTGCTTTAGGCTGTGGTCATGAATACAGCACCTAAATATATTCTATAATGTTGAAATAAAGAATTGCTAGGAGTCTGATAACCAGCAAGAACTCAATAACTGAAAACATAAAATAAAGCTTCACCCTTTAAATAGACACACTTAGTCATATGGAACGAGGATGGTTTCAATTTACAAAGACCACAGGAAACCTTCAAAATAAAATCCTCAGCATAAATAAAAGAACACATATTTTCCAACAAATAACACATATTTTCTGACAATCTAAGGATTAGTGTTCTATGCAGCTGGTCGACCATGCTACTATGAAGACATCTCCCCATAAGCTTTTCTGCATTAATTTTAGGTCAGAAAATGCTAAATCACCTTGGAAAAACATCGTGTTCCCAGTGTTTCTATTCTTTTCCGACGTGTATACACTGTTAGGGTTAGGGTTAACCCTAACCCTATACACTGAAGTCAGCGGGAGGATTTTCCTTACAATCCTCTGAAGGGTCCGCCCTTCGCTGACTGATACAAGGATGCAACACTCCAAATTACCAAAGGGGACCACCCCTCTAACTCCAAGTTACCCAATCTGTGTACACATACATATTTATGCCCAATAAGTAATTTGGATTTTAATCTCACCAGATCAATCACCTCAGGGAGACTGCATCTCCCACAAATACACACCCTACTGATCTCACAGTCTCACGAACATGATGATTTGGGAGGGAAAGCAAAAACTCAACAAAAATTAGCTATTTATAAAAGCCCAAACCAAAAATGGACATTACAGCTGATATGTCCTTAATGTATACTAATGAAACCTTCACACAAATTACACTGCATTGTTACAAATGGGAGCAGCGAGACAGCCACATTGCTGTTAGTCAGTCAGAGGCAAGATGTTCCTACATCATGATTATTAATGAGTCAGACTCCAAATCCTGCCATTTTCCACCCACTCTTCTGACTAACCTTTACTTCTTGAAACAGGAGAGTGAGAGATTTTTCTACAGAAATTTTCTCACAAGGCATTCATTCATATTGTACCCCAAGAGATTTACTGTAAAATAAACTTTAAAAAATGTATAAAAAAACAAAACCTCGACTAAATTTTAATGTAGAAAAAGCTTTCATAAAAGCACACTTGTGAATAAAATCTCAAGTGTGAATTTTCATATAAGAAGTTGAAAGAAAATGTCTGGTTGAATCTCCTACAGAACAAACATGGAAAAGACATTTCACATGTGTTGAGTTCTCATGTGTGTAGTTAAGTGACTACTCTCACTAAAACATTTACCACAAGTTTTACATGGATATGGCTTCTCACCTGTGTGAGTTCTCATGTGTGTAGTCAAGGCACCACTGACACTAAAACATTTACCACAAGTTTTACATGGATATGGCTTCTCACCTGTGTGAGTTCTCATGTGTGTAGTCAAGTGACCACTGTCTCTAAAACATTTACCACAAGTTTTACATGGATATGGCTTCTCACCTGTGTGAGTTCTCATGTGTTTAGTCAAGGAAAAACTCTGAATAAAACATTTACCACAAGTTTTACATGGATATGGCTTCTCACCTGTGTGAGTTCTCATGTGTGTAGTCAAGTTACCACTGAGACTAAAACATTTACCACAAGTTTTACATGAATATGGCTTCTCACCTGTGTGAGTTCTCATGTGTGTAGTTAAGTGACTACTCTCACTAAAACATTTACCACAAGTTTTACATGGATATGGCTTCTCACCTGTGTGAGTTCTCATGTGTGTAGTCAAGGCACTACTCTCACTAAAACATTTACCACAAGTTTTACATGGATATGGCTTCTCACCTGTGTGAGTTCTCATGTGTGTAGTCAAGGCACTACTCTCACTAAAACATTTACCACAAGTTTTACATGGATATGGCTTCTCACCTGTGTGAGTTCTCATGTGTGTAGTCAAGCTACAACTGTCTCTAAAACATTTACCACAAGTTTTACATGGATATGGCTTCACACCTGTGTGAGTTCTCATGTGTGTAGTCAAGTTACCACTGAGACTAAAACATTTACCACAAGTTTTGCATGAATAGGGCTTCTCACCTGTGTGAGTTCTCATGTGTGTAGTCAAGTTACCACTGAGACTAAAACATTTACCACAAGTTTTACATGAATATGGCTTCTCACCTGTGTGAGTTCTCATGTGAACATTTAAATACCACTTGTGACTGAAATAGTTTCCACAGAGCTCACACGAAAATGGCCTTTCACCTCTGTGAGCCCTCTTTTGCCTTTTAAGCTTTTGACCATTTACACTGTCTCTATGATGATTGGTTTTTTGACGTATTTTGTTACGTGTCAGTTCTTCATTGCCCTTTGATTCGGAGTTTTTTTTCCTGCATCCACCCTGATCTTGATTCTCAGCTTCTGTAGAACTCTGACACAAGGGTTGGGTCCTGTTTGGTTCTGGTTCATGGCAGTCTGTTTCTTCAGAAGAAGTCTCCATGAAGTTAACATTTTCCTGCTTCAGAAGGAACTGCCCTTCATGCTGTTGGCTACAGAGTTCCTGCTGGACTTTCTTGATCAGTGGAGGTTCTGGTTCCTCCTGGTCCAAACTGGAGGTCGACTGCTGGTTAAAGAGCTGCTGGTCAGTCAGAACCTTCTCTTTTTCCCAAACTTGATGCTGTGGAGGTTCTGGACAGGATAAAAGAAAATGTAGATTAATGTGATAAAAAATAAATCTCATTTTATTTTAATCTGTTCCAAATAAAGATGTTTGGAAAATAATGAGACCTCAGAATAGCTCTTACTTAAAGAAAATAAACATTGAACAACCACAAAGATCTGTTTATGGCCGCAGGCTAGGAATGCCCCATGGCCCCCAGCTGCATTCTGGTGGGACCAATCACAGCTCTCTATTGGGGTTTCAAACCCATAGAGCACTGTGATTGTTCCACAATGGTGCATCAATTACAGCGCTCTTTTGGCTTTGTGGGCCAATCAAGGTGCTCTATTGGTTTGGTGGGTGGGATGATGCGACGTAGGTAAACAAGATGGCTACAGCTTATTTGGAACGACTTTTACATCAATTTTGGACTATTTGAACTCGGGCTTTATTAGAATCAGGAGCAGATAGATGTGTTTAAGTCTTATTTTTAGAAAAAGTATGTACTTTTGCCTTCTTCAACAGTGGACTGCCTATTTGACTGACATGCGTTGCAGTGAGTATGTCCCATTGTTTACTGTCCAGTAGCATGCAGTGATCGTTTGAAAGACAAAGGTAGAAACAGCCCCATGACCGAGAGCCATCCCTGGAACGTTTCCTGACAGATATATTTATTTAGTCTGGCTTGCCAGGCTAAGGCATCACACTACTTCAGTTTGCTTTTACAGATCTTTCCTCATTCCAGAAAAACTGCACCAGATAATCTGTTTATCATTTATTTTCTATTTTACACTAAAAACCAACATGGAATGTTTTTTTCTGTTTTGGAAAAGGTGTTAATATTTTCAAATTTTGTCTTGGAAAACACATCTGAATATAATTTTAATATACTTCTTATAATATAATTCTTCCGGCACTCGTAGAACACAGACACATCTCCTCTCCTCTCCCTCATGTTTATCCTAAGGCTCTCGTCCTGTCTGTCAGAGTGCTTCTCTGCATTCCTCCTAAAATCTCAAGTTTGTTATTAAATCATGTATTTGGTTAGCTGATCGTTCAACGTGATTGACAAAAAAATTTATTACAATAAGAACAGACGGAGGGACTTGAGTCAGAAAAGGGTAGAATGCCTTCTCCGGGTCAGGGATGAGATCCTGCCCCAAGTGGAGGAGTTTAAGTATCTCGGGGTCTTGTTCACGAGTGAGAGAAAGCTGGAGCATGGGATCGATAAGTGGATTGGTGCTGCATCTGCAGTGATGTGGACGTTGTACTAGGGATGCACCGATCAATTTTTTACTGACATCCGATTCCAATACCTGGATTTAGATATCTGCCGATACCGATATTATTCTGATACTAGAGGTATGTTTGCTTTAAAATCATTATTATTATCATTATGGTTGATTTTATGAGGCTATAATAAACTCTTCTCTACAATCATGTATTTGTACTTGAGAAAGCTCTATGGGTAGGAGCCCAATAGCACCATGTCTCAAAAGGTAACTTAAGATAAGTATGAGGTCACAAAATGTCCATCCTGAAAAATAAATATGCAACTGTAATGTTTCAAATGCATATTTATTAAATTTCAAGATAGGGTTACACGATACTAGTGCAATATACACAATCAAAGAAACAACCCTGTCATATAAACTGAACAGCCCAGAGTCCAATCACCACTAGACAGTAACACAGTTTTTAAGTGTCACACATGAAATAAAAGGGTAAACTTCCATACTACCAATCCAAATAAAATACAGAGGGCTGCTTCATCCGATCACCAGAAATTAAGTTCACTGACCCTTGTAGCATCAAGAAAGTAAGGTTTTCAAATATTTGAAATAAATAAATAAAATAACACTATCAAAAAACAATGTGTATCTGATAAAGATAAATTCAGTAAAACCTTGTTCGTGTAGATGCAACTAAATAAGGTTTCCAAATAAACATTTTGAAAATAAAGAAAAAAGTGCAATAAGTGCACTGTAAACATCCTACACAAACACTATCAGCTTTGCAAAATTTTCTGCTCAATTTGAAACTTGCTATAAAAGCAAGAGTTACAGAGGGGTCTAATTGCTGATTAAATGTTAAAACGGTTTGCCTTACTAAAACACACTATCCAATCATGTTCAGCTTTCGTTCATCTCCTCACCCTTCTAATGCGCTGTTTATTTTTCTTTTGTCCTCTTTTACAGACTTATCCCCAACAATAGTTACAGGTCCCACGACGTTTATGAAATTTCCAAGGCATGTTTCACGGGACGTACCATACCCTCCCTCCTTTCACAGCAACCAGAGGTAGGTGTGTGCGGCGCTGTATCGCACCGTCAGACTGGAGGCGCATGCGTGTGTATATTTTTGCCATTTGTATCATCATTGTGTTTTACAGGGGAGCCTAAATGCTCCCATACATGCGACCTAAACGATGCAGGAAGTTTTTCAAGCTCCTCTCCTCCTCCGCCCTGACCACCACTGTGCGTTTCTCCTTTGCATGGAACAGGTAGTGCCTCCACCCTCCACACGGCCGATCTGCAAACTGTGTGGGTGTCAAATTGTAGAGAGAGATCTGAAAGGATCGCCGATTAATGATGATCCATTGGTTGCACCCCTAGGGCGCGGCCATGATGTATCCCAAATGCGTGAACACAGGGGGAGGTGAACATCGGTATAAATGACAAACAAAACTTGGGCGCCACCCGGGTGGTAAGTCCTCAATTATTTACTGCACAATGAGAAATTTTACTGCCAATGGTGCTCAGGCGGTTTAAGTTTCCACACCTGCATTTTTGCAACCAATGGTTAAAAAAGATTTGTCATTTTTTTCATACTTACTGTTGCTGGCTCTTGTTTTCCGATTGGGTAATATCACTACGAGGTAGGTAAAAGTATGTATGATTTGTGCCGATACCGTATCGGATTGATATTGGTATCTGTCAATACTGAAGGATGCAATATCAGTATCGTATCGGAAGTGAAATTAGTTGTATCGGGACATCCCTAGGTACCAGTAAATATTTCTTGTTACTACTACTTTAATGATACTTGATTTTTGATGGCGGTAACTCAACAATACTTTGGTTGAAATTGAATTGGTATGAGGCTGAAACGACAGAGTACTGTCCAACAGAACACCAAGGCTCTTAACCTGATCCACACAGGAAACAGTGGCATTCTCAAAGACTAAAGAGAAGCTGCCAGCCTTCCCCAGAGCAGATTTCATACCCATGAGAAGCACCTCAGTTTTCTTAGGGTTAAGTCATAGGAAGTTCTTGGAAAACCATGACCTGAGTTCTGCCAGACATTCAGTGAGAGCTACTGGAGGAAGAAGAGTAGACGGAGAGGTGGAAACATAAAGATGAGTAACATCAGCATAACAATGAAATTGGAGCTTGAAATTCCTAAAAATAGCCCAGAGGAGAAGCAGATAAACTATAAAAAGAAGAGGGCCAAGTACTGAACCTTGAGAAACCCCTGAAGCGACACCAGATGGAGAGGAAGCAAAAGTCTTCATTTGAATGATGCAAGTCCTGTCAGAGAAATAAGAGTAGATGCCAACCTAGCCAACAGAGTGGAGTGAGAGACTGTATCTAAAGCAGCACTAAAATCCAAAAGAACCAGAATGGAAATTACTCCATAATCAGCTGCCATTAGCAAATTGTTAGGGGTATTTTGATGAGGACAGTTTCTGTACTGTGATGAGGACGGAAACCTGACTGAAACTGTTCGAATAGATTATTGCGAGTTAAATGTGAATGGAGCTGTGAAACTAGTTTTCTCCAGGATTGTTGAAAGAAAAGGGGGACTAGAAATGGGACTAAAACTATTTAGGTCATCTGGATCAGCCCCAGGTTTTATTTAGGTCATGAGTAAATCATGAATAAAACATTTGATAGTGTAGAAGAAACATCTTTTACATTATCTGATTTAGTAAGTATCTATAGAAGATAATAAAATGCTTTCAGGTCACCATCACCAAAACGAAAATATTTTTCTTCCTTTGACTGGAGACCTTCATAAACCTGCCTCCTTTCGGTAGTCTGTTTATTGTTAAGTACACCGACACAAGGTCAAAAGATAAAACCCAACTTATCAAAAAAAGTCTAATTCATGATAACCTTTTACCCTGTTAAACTAGGCATACACTGCGACTTTTCCACTTTTTTAAATCAATTTTCCCCTTGTGCGAGAACCTATAAGATCAGGGCGAATTTTGCGCTGAGCGTTGTGTAGTACACAGGGGGTAACAATACGCGATTAACACCACGTGACCAGCTACACATCAGCAACCATGAGTTCGCATGGATTTTTGGCGTGTTTGATATTTTGCTCATCTGTTGTAAGCAGGGTCCGAAATTAAATTTTTTACTCACCGGCCAAGTTGGCCGGTAGATGATGAAAATCTACCGGCCAAGCATATCTTTTACCGGCCAAAATTCTAAATGATTTAGATCTACCTAAAGCATGTTATTCTATATTATGTTGATTCCAAACAGTGACAAAATAATTAAAACATCAATGAATAAGAAAAACAACTCTGCTGTCATTTTTACTACTTATTTATTTAAGAGATGTTTTTATGAACTCTTTCATTGAAATCTAGTCAGATTCCTTGTTTTCTCTGTCCATGAAATCTGGCCTCCTGCTTCTGACACCGTCTTTGTGCCAAAGCATTACAGCCTCATTTGGGTCATAGTCCTTGATCTTTGGAGAACACAGCTGCACCATGAGAATATCTGAAAGTGTGCAGTGTTTCCCCTAGGAATTTTTCCAGCTGTGGTGGTGTTGGCGGGGGGGGGGGGGGGGGGGGGGGGGGGGGGGGGGGTTATGACACGTCTCACCTTTATGTTAATATTGTTTTATTTGATGCACTCCACTTTGAACTGCACCAATCCAGCAACTGCTGCATTGTAATAACTAGTATTAAAGGTGAATACACCAGTATTTGCACAATAATAATTTCTGTTTTAAACTCTCAGTGACACACTTTGCAGGGTGGATTTGGCATTTAATTTTTCTTGGCGTCTGG